GGGGGGGGGAATGACTTGGCTGAGGTCAAAGCTTGTCTCCCTCACCCACAGAAGCTGGTCCAATAAAAGATATTGCCTCACCCACCTTGTCTCGCTACTATCCTGGGACCAACATGGCTACACCACCACTGTACAGCTCTTATACAGTGCTTTTCATTGGTAGAGCTCAAAGCACGTTACAAAGGAGGTCAGTACCATTGTCCGTATGGGAAAACTGAGGCATGGGCAGGTGATGTGACTTGCCCAAGGTTACCCCAGTGGACCAGTGGCAGAGCCAGGAACAGACTCTACATCTCGTACGTCCCAGTCAGTTGCTATGCATTAGGCCACACTGCCTCCCCACATAGCCCTGCTAAGCCCATGGAGCGTGTTATATCTGCTCTCCAAAGCTCACCTTAGCTTCCAGCTGCAGTTCGAGGAGGGGACGTTGAGCTCCATATAGCTCACCATGGTTTGGGGCCTGTCTGGTTCCTCACAGACTCTTTGCCATGGCTGGGATCTGCTGGGCTGCTTTTGCCAACAGCACCAGGAGTGACCGAGCCTGATTTTCTTGACCTTCGGAGCAAAGCTCAACTGTTTACTCAGAATGTTGCCTGTTGCGGGGGACTGCCTAGGAGAACTAAGGCAGCGCTGTGGGGACCGGTGTTTGTGTAGACAGGGTACCGAGCTTTTCATCATGGGCGCACTTTGATAAATCTATAAATAACGGTAAAAGGCCAATCCTACCAGGCCCGCTAGTAATTCCCACAGCCAAACAGCAGGTGGCACATTTGTAGCAACCGGCTAAACTAATGACATGTAATTATGCACTAGTGAAGAGGGAGAGATGGGCCTGCCTTGCTGAGCTCTTAATTCCCACCTCTAGGGGGTTTTCTCAGCGCTCTTTTGGGCTCACACGTCTCCTGCTTGGCCTTGGGCCAAAGGTGAAGTTGGAAAGTCTCACCTGCCAGGAAAGTGCATTAATAGCTGCCAGGTGTGCACAGCAAAGTGAAGGCAGCAGCTGCTTCTTTTGGTGCCCGGAAGAGCAAGGAGCTGGAGCGTCCATTGTGAGGCGCTGCGGGGAGGCAGCACCTGCTGCGTTGTCCTGGGTTTCATTTGCCAGTGAAGTCTCTTCTGCTTTCAAGTGAATTTAGCACTGGAGCCGCTCCAGCTTGTCAGCATTAAGAACAAGGTACATTTATACCAGATCTTTCAGCTCGGTGGATCCCAGCTCCAGCTTGTCATCAGTAAGAACAGATTTAAAAGTTTTATTAAAGTTGTTTAAAATTAAATACACACAAGTTAAGAGGGAAGGTCCTGTACATCTGGGGTCAGGCTCGAGTTATGAGGGGTTACAGGTATCGGTTACAAGGTTCATGAGATACATACATATCACATAACCAGCACAGACCTAGATTGGGGTGAGGGAGTTTTTAAAGCGTCAGTGGATAAGTGGGCTCGGGTACGCTACCCATGGAATGTATTAAGAGTCCAAGTCAGTATCGGTGTAGCAAATAAGTCCATGGGTGGGGTGCGTCAGGGAAGGAAGTGGGTTATTTCCCTGGTCAGTGGTCTCGGTCACTCGAGGTGGTACTGGCAGTGTCCCGTGATGTGTGCCATGTAGATGTCTCTGGACCACCTGATGGTGTCGGACACCATGAGCTGTCTCATGAAGGTACATTTATAGAGAGTCTTTCAGCTCGGTGGAGCCCAGCTCCAGCTTGTCAGCAGTAAGAACAAGGTACATTTATACCAGGTCTTTCAGCTCGGTGGATTCCAAAGTGCTTTGCAAGCGTCTGAACCACTCCACCCACCATTGAAAAGCTGCTCTCCACGGGCAGCTGCATTAACAGAGCACTAAATGAAGAATGGGGTAGCCAGCTAAAATAGCAGAGGGAGTTGGCTCGGGCAGAAGGAAAGACCCCAAACCTGGACACTGGAGCTAATTCCCTCTCTCTTACTTAAAGTGCCATGTGATCTTTAATGCCCACGGTCTCTACGACTACAGCTGCTAGTAGCTCCCTTTTACATCTCATTTGAAAGATGGCACCAGCTGCAGCATACCACT